GTGTCTTCAGATAGTGGAAGAGTCAAAGACCATGGTATGTCTATCAGAAATTACATATACAAAACCTCTACACTTTTGATTTACCTGTCCACGAAACCATAAAACGGTAAGTCTGAAGACATGATCTCTATACGGCTGTAGATCATGTCTGTAGTTGTTAGGGCTGTAGAACAATTTCAAGAAGTTTAATTCCTTCTTGGACTGAAGAAAAAAGTAAAATGTATTCAATGGTTGCAGCTTCTTGAAACATTTTTGTTTGCCAACCAAACTCTTTTATCTAGGATTGTGCTAATATACGTAATCCATTGCAAATAAAATGTATTGTTTGTCAATTTCAACTATTTTTTGGGGGTAATACAGTAGGACAGTAGTTTGTCATCAGGATGCATTACATAGAAACCTTAATAATATTAAAGATACATTTTGCTTTCAATAAATATGGTATGACTGCAAGTGGTCTATTTTGTATATACTGTGAGGTCACAACCACCACAATATGTTGCCCCGCACATCTGGTTATGGCTTTATTGATGGTGTGACCATGGATGGACGGATGTAATTGATCGTTTCCAATTTCCCACACTTAATGGACTGAAGCAGTTGCTTACTTTCTGAAATGTACATTGAGTTTGCAAATGGGATACAGTGAAATATAAAACATTTTATATCTTGTATTCTAGGAAAGAATAAGAAGCTACATGAACAGAGTCAAAGAAATAACCGATCGCAAGAAAGCTGCCAGGCTTGATAAAGGAGCCGCACGAAGATTTATAAAGCATGCCTTGTCTGACCCTGCCGCTGACGAGGGTTCTCCTGCCAAAAAAGACTTCAAAGCCAAAACAAAGAAAATATAGCCATAACTTATAAGAAAAATGGGGGGAGCATAAAATCATTTCAGAGTTTTTTTTAATTTTTTTTTTTTATAACGTACCATGTTTTTGGAATCGTCAATCCATTTTGTTACTGTCCAATTAAAATGTTCTTTTTAAAAAAAATATTTAGACTTTAGATTCAGTATTTTCTTCTGTGCAGCTTCTTGGGATTATATGTTGAGAAGTAATCTTTAATCTATCTCAAAACATCTCTCCAAATTGTAACATAACTAGTTTTACCAAGCATATGTTAACTTCCAAGTGCATTTTGATTGCATCAGTTTTTTTTTTTTTTTATTCAAAATTATCCTTTACAATTCTGTTCATTATTTTACAACTATTTGTTTCTAGGTTCCTAAAAGGATTGTCATTATAATTTTTAATATCTTAATATAATAGTTATGCCACCTCCTTATTTTTTTAATTTATGTATCTAGATATTTTTGAAGAAATCGGTTGTCTACCCTTCCCACTGCTCCATTCTGTCAGCCATCTTTATGCAGCTCAGGTCAGACTGTCAATAGTCTCACTCAATGCTTGCTATTATGCAAATGTTTGAGGTTTAAAATCACCTGACTGTTAAAGGGACACTATAGTCAACAGAAAAACTACAGCTAAGTGTAGTTGTTCTGATGAGAATAATCATTCCGTTCAGGCTTTTTTCATGCAAACACCTCCAGGTGGCCACTCCTTAGATGCTTCCTGGGTCAGTGCTGCCGAAAAAGCAGCCCTGACGTTCAGCGTCCCCACGCTCTGCATGGAGACGCTGAATTTTCTTCATAGAGATGCATTGATTGAATGCATCTCTATGAGGAGGTCCTGATCAGCCAAAACTGCATTCGGCCCTGCCCCATGCCAATTTTAGCCAACCCAGTGCTTTCCCTATGGGTATAAATCAGCCATTTTGATGTCACAAAGGGGGCGGACCCGCACGGCGCTGGAAATAAGGTGAGCAAACCACCTAAATAATGGGTTAAACACTATAGTGTCAGGAATACATGTTTGTGTTCCTGACCCTATGGTGGTTCTATAATATTGCAGGCAGAAAAAGCACACGATTTTCAAAAGTTGCAAAATAAACACTGTTGCAAAATGGGTCATATAAGTGAGAGTATAATCCAAGATACATAGAGATGGCTTTTTGAAAGGGGGAGTGGGAAAGTTAGGCAAATTATTTATTTAAAAAAAAAAAAAAATGCAATACATGAACTTAAGACATTTTATTCACAATATACTTAGAGCAATACAACCTTAATGCATCTGATAGATTATGGCATTGTTAATATGCTGCATTTTTGCATGTTCAAATCTTTACAGTTTGAGAACAGAAAATTTAATATTTAGCAGAATTCTACACCATAAGCCTGCCTCCTTAGCCATGCCCCTCATTCCAGAAAAATACTTCCTTGCGAAATTTGTTCCCACAGTCTCTGAACTAACAGCACTGAGTGATCAGCTTTTAATTCACAGCCTGGCTAAATGCCTCCCTGCCTGTCCTTGCAGGTTGTTTTGTTGTTCAGATCACTCAGTGCAGTCTGTGGCTGATAAGGAAGCATACATTTGATAAGTAAGTCTATTTCTGGAATGAAGGAGTATGGCTAAAGAGGCAGGCTTATAGTGCAGCACTATGCAAAACCTTTATTTTATGCAAAAACTATAAATATTTGAGCGCTCAAAAAAATACAGCAGATTAATAAGACCAAAATCAAATCCATTAAAGTAGGGTTCATACCAGGAGTGCCCGTTTACAGATATACATTTTAGTTAGAGACGAACTTTGTGAAAGAGCACAAATAAATAAACCACACAAGCTTTTTGTGGCCAGTTGTGTGTTTGTATATATTTTTTTGATTTACCAAAATAAGAGTTCAAATCTTTTTGCTTTCTAATTTATTAAAGTCTATAAAATGATAGGATTCACTCTTAATAACAGAATAATTTGTTTCTCCTATTGTGTATTGAGGACTAACATACAAAGTTACACTGAGTGTATTGGAAAAAGGCATGAAGGAGTAAGCACTGCACGTTTATAATAGAATGTGACGGCAGATAAGAACCATTCGGCCCATCTAGTCTGCCCAATTTTCTAAATACTTTCATTAGTCCCTGGCCTTATCTTATAGTTAGGATAGCCTTATGCCTATCCCACGCATGCTTAAACTCCTTTACTGTGTTAATCTCTACCACTTCAGCTGGAAGGCTATTCCATGCATTCACTACCCTCTCAGTAAAGTAATACTAACTGATATTATTTTTAAACCTTTGCCCCTCTAATTTAAGACTATGTCCTCTTGTTATGGTGGTTTTTCATCTTTTAAATATAGTCTCCTCCTTTACTGTGTTGATTCACTTTATGTATTAAAACATTTAGGTCAGTACTGAGAGGCATACTAATTCACAATCATCTAAAAACCCAGCATATAAATACCCTCTGCTGTCAACTTAAACTCTGCATATACAGATACTACATGAACATGACCTATTATTTTGCAGCCTCAAATGGATACATGCGTACACGTTTATTTTAAACCAGGACATTTATGATTTGTGTGTATGAACTGTGTCTATTTAACTGTTTGTGTTTGCAGCAAGCAAAAGCACAAGGAAGAATTCTACTTGGTTCCTGGAAAGGTGACTGCACTGTGTATTTATTTCATGAAGTACAGCTTCGGATCTTCATGTTAAAAATGTAAAGGACCATTATAGTGCCAGGAAAACAATCTCGTTTTCCTGGAACTATATAGTCCTTAGGACCCCCCTTCAGCCACTTACCTTAATCCAGCGCCGGGCTCCCTCTGCGCTGGTGACCTCTCCTCCCCCTCCAAGGTCAGCACCAGTGGGGAGTCGAATGCGCATGCACGGCCAGAGCCGCGCGTGCATTCAAACCACCCATAGAAAAGCATTACTCAATGCTTTCCTATGGACGAGCTGCGTGCTCAGTGCTTGCTCTGGAAGTCCGCCACTAGAGGTTGGATTAACCCTGCAATGTAAACATAGCAGTTTCCCTGAAACTGCTATGTTTACAGCTGCGGGGTTAAAACTTGGGGGACCTGGCACCCAGACCACTTAATTGAGCTGAAGTGGTCTGGGTGACTATAGTGGTCCTTTAACATTCAGAGGGTTGAACTCAAGAATTTAGCTATACTTGATCATAGGAAAGAAGTCACATGACACTTTTTTTTTTTTCTTCTCTGTACTTTCAAAAACAAGGTATCCAATTCAGTACAGCATGTATCATATACAAAATATAGTTTACTGATAGTTAAATATAGCATCAATACACAAGCTGTGAATATATTATTGTTGGTGTATACCAAACCATTACATAGAACATATTAAAACAGTACATACTAGTACAAAATAGTACAGTTATGGCCAACCTTGACACCATAAATTGTTTCTGGACAACATTTCTCATGATGCTCAGCTAGCTTTTAGAGCCTAAAAGCTAGCTGAGCATCATGGGGAATGTAATCCAGAAACAATTTATGGTGTCAAGGTTGGCCATCACTGAAATAGTACGTAACTGAACATACAAAGGGGTTGACACTCATTTTTTTATATCTTACTTTAAAGGACATTCTAGGCACCCAGACCACTTCAGCTTAATGAAGTGGTCTGGGTGCCAGGTCCTTCTAGGGTTAACCTATTTTTTCATAATTATAGCAGTTTCAGAGAAACTGCTATAATTATGAATGGGTTAAGCCTTCCCCCTATCCTCTAGTGGCTGTCTCATTGACAGCCACTAGGCGCTATGCGCTTTCACTGTGATTTTCACAGTGAGCCTCAGCGTCATAGGAAAGCATTGTAAATGCTTTCCTAGAACGCTGAATGTGCGCCAAGCTTGCAGCGTCAGCCAGCGGCGCGTAGCGGGAGAGGAGGAGGAGAGCTCTCCGCCCAGCGCTGGAAAAAGGTACGTTTTTACCCCTTTCCCCCTTCCAGAGCCGGGCGGGAGGGGGTCCCTGAGGGTGGGGGCATGTTTTCCTGGCACTATAGTGGTCCTTTAACTAACCTTTGAAAATTTTCATTTTTTCTTGTTTTTTTACCAATAAATATTTTATTGTACAAAAAGATTCTGAGAAGTGTAGAACAGATTAACCCTCTTGTCTTGTCAGCCGATCAGTTGGGAATAAGAAGGGGAGATAAGGCCTAGAGATTGAATTGTGGCCTAAAACAAGTCTTCTATTCAAGTGATACTAAATATTGGCACCATCTGAGCCAGAAAGGTTTGCACAATGGAAGCTAACCCTGAGCTGATAGAACCATTTTCTTTGAGGGGTTGACTGAGCCTTTGAGATGTACAGAGTGGTGGAAATGTTTGGGTTGTCAGAAATAGGGAGCAGGGGGAAGGAGAAGGACTCAAGACTGAATTTGCTCTTTGCCAAAGGAAACTGATTTTACAAGATATGAAGGAACTTCTAAAAGAGACATCTGACAATACAAGCCTTTTTACACTGAACAAACCTGATTTACCTCCCCCCTGCATAAAGCACCTACCATACTAATTTTCGTTATATTGTTTTTCCTGTTGTTTATTTTATTTTGTATTGTTTTAAATATATAAAAAATGTCATGCAATGTATGTCGACCAATAAGCCTTTACATTTCTTCATTGCATCATAAAAATAAGAGTTAAAAAAAAGACAACTTACCTATTGCAGACTGTAGTTGATTGCAGTGTTTGTTTTAGTATATGTTTGCTTAAATTTATATTAGATAATTAAAGGGACACTATACTCACCAAAATAACTTTAGCATAATGAGGCTGTTTTGGTGTATAGATCAAGCCCCATGCAGTCTCACTGTTCAATTCTCTGCCATTTGTGAGTTAAATCACTTTGTTTATGAACCCTAGTTACACCTCCCTGCATGTGACTTACACAGTCTTCCTAAACACTTCCTGTAAAGAGTCATCTAATGCTTAAACTTTTTTTATTTAGCCAATTCTGTTTAATTTAGAATTTCTTGTTTCCTGTTTTTTTTTAAAATTCTTTATTTTAGTGGTGCTTCAAGGTACAATTTGCAAGTAAAAAATATAACTGCAATAACAATGTTATCATGAGATCAGTACATGTCAGGATTACTGCACCATTTTATTTATTTTTTGTATCATGAGTAAAACAGATTAATGCACATGTGAGAACTTAATAAGTAGCTGAAAGTAGGACTTAGTAATAGAGTTTATGTGTGTGAGTCAGCACTGAAACAAAGAAATAAAACATCTAGGCATACTGATATCACAAGCCAGTACACAGGAGAATAAATCCACCAAACAGTAGGTATTCTGGGTTCAAAGTGACAGCGAAAGGGCCACAAGATAGACAAACTCAGATTGAGTTGTAAGTTGGTCACAAGGATAAGCAGTGGCAAAATATCTGAGGCAATAGCATGTTTAGTCGCTTGGGGTAGGTGGTCCTGCGGGTATTGCCTGTTCAACCGATGCCTGTAGCGGACAGGCAGAGTCCAGATCGCTACTTGAGGAGTGTCGTGGTTTCCTTAGTGCCATATTGTGCTGCATCCCCTGGTGGGAACGGGAACCATTTCCCCATATCCACACACCCCTTTCACAAATACTGGGAGGGCATATCGGGATCTGGAGCGGAGGTGTTTTACCCAGGTGCATGGCCTGCTGGCGGGCACGTGGGCCTTCTTGGTTCTCCGCCTTAGAGAAGGGCGCCGTACTGGGGCTCTGGGGGAATGCTGTGCCTTGACAGTGGGTAGAACTGATGATTTCTGCCAAGCTTCCAGGTTCATCCAGAACCGCTGGCATACGGCGTCAACCGCTGTGTGGAAGTCGGCTTCCCAGATTCCAATCCGCTCACACTGCTGTGTAGTATCCTTGGTGTCAGCCATCTTTGAAAGTGCGTGGAAGCTCCTTTCACAGAAGTCTCCCAGGAGCGATGCAAAGGTGAGTACTTGCTTGGTGGGGACCGAAATAACCCCCACCGGCCCAGAGGGGGGTGGGAACGGGACTGCAGAGTATCCCCTTGAGGGTGCAGCGTCACACAGGACAGGGGATCGGATGCCTCTCCCACCCAGCAATCACATCAGGCCACGCAGGAGCTTTCAGCAATTGCCAGGTTAGCGATCAGATATGAAGCTTCAGGGCACCACAGCTTATTCCAGGTGTTAGTTAGTCGTATATTAAGTTGGTGTGGTGTGCTGGTAGTCAAGAAATCGGCTGATTTTAAGAATTAGGCTGGGAGCTCCTAGGAAGCACGTCCAGCCGCCATGCTGCTCGGGCACTGCACCTGTCTACTGCTTTGTTAAGAGCCTGCTATACCCTGCAAGAGCCTCCTGTGTGTGATTAAAGTTAAACTTACACAGCAGGAGATAAAAACTTTTACAGTAAGCCAAATCTGATTGAAAAAAAAAAACCAAAAAATTTTGTTTCCATGCAGGCTGTGTCAGTCACAGACAGGGATGGTGTGGTTAGGAAAGAAACAAAAGTGATGTAACCCCTAAATGTCAGTGAATCTAGCAGTGAAACTTCAAAGGCATAATCTATACACCAAAACTGCTTTATTATGCTAAAGTTGTTTTGGTGACTATAGTGTCTCTTTAAAGTTTCTAAAAGACTTGTTTTGTGGAAGAAGAAAACTTTTCATGCTATTTTCCAATTACATCCAAACCCCTGGCAGATGTCTTTTTGTGTATTTTTGCTTTTTAACATACTAATTTAATTACAACATGTATAGAGTTATGGTTCCCTTTTTAAATTACCTGCTGCAATGTATATTTGTCCAATTACATTTTTCTAAACTTGATTGCATTGTTATAGTTTACTAAAATTCCTTTCCCAATATCAATATGGTCAACACCACCAGAACACCACTGTACCAGTTAGTGGAACACCCAAGTGACAGTGTCCCAGTGACAGCTCCCCTAAGTAACTCACCTTGGGTAAACTTGTTGATAAAATTAGTGCAGTGAGTTTCCCCTCCCCAAGTGGTGATCCTTGGAAAGTAGGGACTTTATAAAACCCTGTGAAACAAGAGCTAAATGGACTTAATTTAAAATCAAATTGCATATAATCCCCCCTTGAGAATAGGTGCCAAAAGATTTTGTTTCTGAATAAAGTAGATTTTTTTTATGATGTATAGCTTTAATTGCATAAATATGTTAAGAGTTATAGCAAAAAAATGTATCAGGCATATTCTGCGCTTTGGCCAGATTTACAGGTAATTTTACAATTTCAGCCATGTAGTTTTCTTTTATCGTGACTCAAAAATCCATTTTGTTTTGGCTGTACAAAAAGGTCTAAAACTCTAGCCAAAGTATGGGTAAATAAAATCTTTGCACAGAAAAATATGGCCTGTCATTGCCCTCTTAGAATAGTAATTTACTCCTTCTCTCTTTCTTTATAGCACATTTTGTATAGCTGTGTGCTTTGTATAATTTTAACCTTAGTAGGAACCCTTGGGGTCCAGTGGGATTGGGATGGTGCACCTTGTCCCTCTCTTCCACTTGCAACTCTGGGTTCGGGAGCCCCAGGAAAGCTTCCTTTCAGTGTTATGCTTCCAAGTAGCAGGCATAGCCAAAATGTTTAGATCTGGAAGGGGCCTGGACTGATACATTGCGTATGTAGCTCTATTTGCAGATATATTTCTATCTTCCCAGCCAGACCGCATCCTGTGAAAGGGTCCTGGTACTCGACTGGGTCCTTGATCAGAGAATAGGCACAAGTGACTTGATGATGAACCTGAGTAGGAGGGTCAAATTATGGCAGAGCTGGATGATCCATTAGGCGGCTTAGGTAGCAATAGGTTTGTTTTTGAGCCCGGAGCCTGGGTGTGTGTGGTGGCCAAAGCCCTGACTGCTTTTCGGGCATCCCAGGCAATTGCCTGATGGGCCGCAATGGCCACAGCCAGAGGCTGACACAGATTATCTCACCACAAGACCACCAATGTTTTGAATGTACCCCTCCCTGGCACAAGGTAAGAAGCATGGAGGGGTAAAATCAAGAGTTTACTTTTTTAAAAACAAGAATAATAAAAATTAAAAGAAAACACACAACTCTCAATTAACCACTCAAACAACACTCAGTCTCCCACACACATATACAACACTCTATTGCCCCCTTTCACAAAACAGAGCCCAGGACTCTAGGTGGGGATGCCAATCTGACATCCTGCCTAGTGCCTTGGGCAAGTTTACTCTGGCTCTGCGTGATCGACCCCCATAACCGCATGGGCCCTGGTACTGCTGTCCCAGCTGAATCTCTATGTTGAAGGGAGAAAAGTGGTAATGAGGCCACAGCAAGGAGACTGTCCTCGTCCTAAATTATGGGTAATGAATTTTTTTTTAATAATTTAGGACAGGGTGACCCAAATCTAAAATAGCAAAGTAACATATTTACTGTAACAATAAAAAGTATTTTTAGTTAGGTGGTTCTTTTTGTGTACAGAAACCTACAGTATGCATGCAGGATCAGTAGACAGGATTGTATCAGTAGAGTGGAATCTCCATAGCAGAAATGAAAGTTCTGAGATCTGGTGGGAAGCTAACAAAGATGACCTGTAGAGGTGTATAAACTTGGAATGTGCACAATAAGATATGCTATGGATTTTCTATACTGTGAACAGAAGCAGATTAGAAATAATTGGATGTGGATGGTGGGATCTTGGCAAACACCGGTAGTTAAATAGAGAAACACTAAGAGTTTCTGTCAGATACGATATTAAGCAGATGGCTCCAAGCTAGACATGTTTTGGGAGCCTCCAGCAAAATTGATTTAATGGAGACATTATGGCTAGTGATAGCAGACAGATAATGTTCATATTATAGCCTAATCTTCACAAAAGCTCCCCATCCAATGATATGTATTAATAGAAGTTCAAACACAAGTACTTGCAATTTGCATCAAATACATCAGTAATGGCTTGGCATCTGGGATGTTTCCGAACAGTATTTCCTATGATGCTCAGCCAAATGTAAGGGTGGCTGTGCATCATGGGAATTGAAGTACAGAAATGTGTGGGATGCATGTTTAGAATACTTAATGCTACATCACGCGTAAAGTAGCAGCAAATGTTGATTACAGAAAGACTGGCATACATTTATTTTTTTTACTCAAAATAGAATATTATGGCCAGGCATAGTTTGGTTAAGCTAGCGCATGGACGTGTAAATCTAACTCTCCTCTGGTTTGTGCCGATATTTATTGATCTCCTTTGATGAAATATTCAAATGTGAACCAAAGTACCGAATGGAACACCATCCTTCTCTGAGGGGTCCCAAAAGACATCTATGCTGCACTTTTTAAAAAGAAAATCTTGGATCCCAGAAGTTGTTAAAGATGGCGTCCACCTCTCACCTCTCACCTAGCTCCTAGTGACTCCACATTTTCTAATATCATTATTTAATGTCCTTTTTTGTGTGTGGGGTGTGTGGTTTATTGTTGGAAATTATCTTTATATTATATTAGTAATCTTTTATTATATTTTATTATAATATGTCTTTTTATGTTAAACACCTACCGCAACTATGTAATGGCTTTTAGCATTTCTGAGTACTTTTCTACCTTTTGATTTGTATCTGCCCATCTGAGGATTAGCACTGTCTCTTTTGTAAATAGTTACATTTTGTGTTTGTTATAGTGTTTGCTCACATTATGCTCACTTTGAGACCTTTACCTGCGTATAATTTCCTATACACTCCCAAAGGAACAATTAAGTTTACTGTTACTGTATGCTACAGGCCCGAATAACCCTGAAAAATGATACATTTTCTGTAAACTTAATGAATCTTTGTTTGACAACCTTACTGTTCTATAGTAGGTAAAGGTAATCCTCTTAATTTATTTTAGGGACAATTCTACTGGAGACGTTTCAGACCAATGGGTTTTCCAGGCCCACAAAGGTATGGTTGCCATCTTTCTTGGAAAAATAATACCAGTTATGCTAATTTGCATAAAAACCATAATATATGTTGTAACAGTGCTGTAACAATCAGAGTTCAGCGCTGTAACAATCAGAGCTCAGCTCTGACAGATCAGCTTGTCTTTGTGCTCTTACAGGCTTACATATAGACATACAATTGGCTTCTGATCAGATATATGTAACCATTGCCCTTGTTGCTAGCAGCCTGCGAAAAATACCAGTGTTTGCATTGCTGGTATTTTTGCAATACCTGCACTGGCTGAGCAGCATAAAATACCAGCTAAGTGGCAACGCTACATGACATGGCTGCTGTTAGGGGAGTTTGATGAGTTGGGATCTCGACTTAAGAAAATCTTAAGAAAGAACGTTATGCTACAGTAAGTCACCTGTTAAGAGTTTTTCACTCCTTAAAACAAAAACATAAGCCTAATCCCACTGCTATCATTTTCCAAGAGCTGAACGCTCAGCGAATTAAATTGTAAAGGATTCCTAATTTGGAAGCTCAACGTATACTCACCTATTGAATAATAAAAGAAGAATTAGGTTAAAAAGTTAAGAGTAGAGTGCTACAATCAGGGGCGGACTGAGAGCCTTTGGGGCCCCCGGGCAAAATTAGATCCCAGGCCCTTTGAAGGCCAAATATATGTGCATTTTAATAAATGTTAAATATAATTCATAATACGGCATTCCTTTGGATGTGTGTATTGTGAAGACCTGTGTATCAATGCATGTTTGTATTTGAGTCTGTGTGAATGCACTTGTGCATGTCTGGATGACTACATGCGCTTTTTTGTATATAGTGTCTGTGTGAATGCATATGTGACAGGTGACAGAGTGTGTGAGGGAGAAGGTGACAGGTGGCAGAGTGAGGGGGTACCTGGTGGCAGAGTGAGGGAGGGGTTGAGTGGTGGCAGAGTGAGGGGGAGACACAGTGAGTGGGGGTGACTGGTGACAGAGTGAGGGAGTGGGTGACTAGTGACAGAGGGAAGGAGAGGGGGAGACTAGTGACAGAGGGAGGGAATGGGAGACTAGTGACAGAGGAGGGAATGGGAGACTAGTGACAGAGTGAGGGAATGGGTGACTAGTGGCAGAGTGAGGGAGGGAAGGGGTGACTAGTGACAGAGTGAGGGGATGACTGGTGACAGAGTGAGGGGGGGGTGACTGTCACTAGTCACCCCATCCCTCTCTCTGTCACTAGTTACTCCCTCCCTAACTCTGTCACTGTGTCACCCGCTCCCTCACTCTGTCACTAGTCACCCCCTTACTCGGTCACTGTGTTACCCCTCCCTCTGTCACTAGTCACCCCCTCCCTCACTCTGTCACTAATCACCCCCTCTCTCCCTAGTCACCCCCTTCACACATTCTGTCACTAGTCACCCCATCCCTCTCTCTGTCACTAGTCACTCCCTCCCTCACTCTGTCACTGTGTCACCCCGTCCCTCACTCTGTCACTAGTCACCCCATCTCTCACTATGTCACTAGTCACCCCCTCCCTCACTATGTCACTCCCTTCCTCACTCTGTCACTAGTCACCCCCTCTCTCACTCTGTCACTAAGGACAGAGAGGGTGATTAGTGATAGAGTGAGGGAGGGGGTGACTAGTGACAGAGTGAGGGAGCAGGTGACACAGTGACAGAGTTAGGAGGGAGTGACTAGTGACAGAGGGATGGGGTGACTAGTGACAGTCACCCCTTCCCTCTCTCTGTCACTAGTCACCCCTTCTCTCACTCTGTCACTAAGGACAGAGGGGGTGATTAGTGACAGAGTGAGGGAGGGGGTGACTAGTGACAGAGTGAGGGAGCAGGTGACACAGTGACAGAGTTAGGAGGGAGTGACTAGTGACAGAGGGATGGGGTGACTAGTGACAGTCACCCCTTCCCTCACTCTGTCACTAGTCACTCACTCTGTCACCTGTCACTCCCTCACTCTGTCACCTGTCACTCCCTCACTCTGTCACTAGAGTGAGGGGGTGACTAGTGACAGAGTGAGGGAAGGGGTGACTAGTGGCAGAGTGAGGGAAGGGGTGACTAGTGGCACAGTGAGGGAAGGAAGGGGTGACTAGTGACAGAGTGAGGGAGGTGGTGACTGTCACTAGTCACCACCTCCCTCACTGTCACTACTCCCTCCCTCCTTCTGTCACTAGTCACGCCCTCCCTCACTCTGTCACATGTCACCCCTTCCCTCCCTAACGCTGTCAACTAGTCACCACTTCCCTCCCTCACTCTGTCACTAGTCACACCCTCCCTCACTGTCACTAGAGTGAGGGGGTGACTAGTGACAGAGTGAGGGAAGGGGTGACTAGTGACAGAGTGAGGTAGGTGGTGACTGTCATTAGTCACCACCTCCCTCTGTCACTACTCCATCCCTCCTTCTGTCACTAGTCACCCCCTAACTCACTCTGTCACCAGTCATCCCCTCACTCTAGTGACAGAGTGAGGGAGGGTGTGAGTAGTGACAGAGTGAGGGAGAGGGTGACTAGTGACAGAGTGAGGGAGAGGGTGACTAGTGACAGAGTGAGGGAGAAGGTGACTAGTGACAGTGAGGGGGGGTGACTAGTGACAGTGAGGGGGGGTGACTGGTGACAGTGAGGAAGTGACTAGTGACAGTAGTGACTAGTGACTTTAGTGAGGTGACCTAGTGACAGTAGAGGTGACTAGTGACAGTAGAGTGACTAGTGACAGTGAGGAGTGACTAGTGACAGTGGGGGTGACTAGTGACAGTGAGGGGTGACTAGTGACAGTGGGGGTGACAGCTAGTGACAGTGGGGGATGACTAGCAAGTGACAGTGGGGGGTGACTAGTGACAGTGAGGGGATGACTAGTGACAGTGGGGGTGACTAGTGACAGTGAGGGGGGATGACTAGTGACAGTGGGGGGGTGACTAGTGACAGTGAGGGGGTGACAGAGTGGGGGGGTGACTAGTGACAGTGGGGGGTGACTAGTGACAGTGGGGGGGTGACTGGTGACAGTGAGGGGGGTGACTGGTGATAGTGAGGGGGGGGGAAGGGGGTGGTTGGTGCCTACCTGCATCTCTGCTCCCTCTTCTCTCCCCGCCTGCTGCTCCTTCTCCATGCTGGGCTCTGTGTGAGAGGAGTAAACAGGAAGTGATGTCACTTCCTGGCCGCCTCTCCCATCACACAGAGCCGCATGGGAGAGGAAGCCGGAGACCTGGCAGAGAGCTGGTAAAGCTGCCAGGTCTCATCGTGGGGGTGGGGGGTGGGGTGACTAGCAGAGCGGTAGGTTGTGGGGGCCCCGCGCTGCATCAGGGGCCCCACAACCTATCAATTAAAAAGTTTTATTTTATTATTTTTCCGTTCCAGCTGGAGAGATCTCTGATCTCTCCAGCTGGAGCATGGCTGTGCTGCCGGGCCCCTGACTGCCTCGGGCCCTCGGTCCATGACCGAAGTGCCCGAGTGGTCAGTCCGCCCCTGGCTACAATCACCAATGTGAGTCACTTAAAATCAAACCATACAGTGTTACAGAAATGTGAGTGGTAAGAGCACACTAATAAATATAATAATTGCACGTTACCCTTATTGCACATGAAAATATTAAAACCACTCCTATAAATGTAAAAACAGGAAAAATGGCAACATAGGGTAATAACGTAGCAGCTGGATGTAACTTAAATGATAATTGGTTACACTCACATGGTCATGAGCCACTTAAGGAAATCTCAGACAAGAAGTATACAGGATGAATGTATGTGGTAGTCAAACTCCAAGCTGAATCACCTCTGTGGTCCTTGGTTTCTGTTGCTTTATATATTCCAGGATGCAGGAAGTAATGCAAAAACATTTTGTCTTCCGGATAGCCGCTACAGGCGCATCTGCGATGCTGGATGGGAATTTTGCATCCATCACGCAGAGCGTCCATAGGAAAACATTGAGAAATGCTTTCCTATGGACTGTTTGAATGCGCGCGTGGCTCTTGCCGCGCATGCGCATTACGCTCCACTCGGGAGCTGAGGTCGGCGGCTGGAATAAGGTAAGCTGCTGAAAGGGTTTTAACCTTCAGCTCCACGAGAGGGGGACCCTTAGGGTGGGGGCACCCTCAGGGCACTAAAGTGTCAGGAAAACCGCTTTGTTTTCCTGACACTATAGTGATCCTTTAAATCTCTACCTCTTGCTCACAGTTTCAGCCAATTATATGTCTTTGAAAGAATTTTAGGGACCCTTCATGTCTCTCCCCAGGTATTTCTCCATTCACAACCCTTTATTGCCCGCTGGGCCCTCTTATATTGTATTATCATCAGTATTATATAATGGTAAAGTGCCATCTGATGTGTTTGGGGATAGAACTCCATCCCTATCAGAGAGATTTAGTCCATCACAAATTTACAATTTTCTCCAGGCTACTGTGATTCCTCATTGAAACACAAGACAATTAATTCTTATTGATGAGTTCTGTTCATCTACTTACTTGGTGAGACCTATGCTGAACTTATTTTCTGTAATATATAAGGTCTCTCATGATACCCTACCAGCATTCATAGAGATATGCACTTACGTTGTCCTTTACTACTCAGGATTGGATACATACTTTCCACAATGTTAATACTTCTTCTGTTAGTATTAACAAAAGGGAATAAGTGTAAAAGGTAATCTCCCGATGTTATAGTGTTTCTACATGCTATTTACCCCAATGTGCCCAATACCTATTGACGGTGCCATTCGGATACTGGTTTGCTAAAATATATTTGGTCCAATGCAGCTCCAAATACAAAACTACTGGAATGAGATTTTGGCTTTGATGGGTAAATTACTCAACTTTTCTGAGCCTCTTTTTCCTTCTCAAATTATGCTGGACTAGCCTGCTTGTCTTCAATAGATACATAAAAATCCCCTCTTAGTCCATATACTTAATGCAGTCAATGCCGTTATTTCCATAATGTGGAACAAAGGTCCCCTCATGTGACCATTGGATTATGTAGGTTGAAGTCATTCGGTCAATGGCCAACAGAAGTACAACACAACATGGAGACCTTGGTTTGATTATTTTTATTCTCTTCTGTGACTCCAATCGTTTTATTATGGTAGCATATCTAGGACTACAATTCTCAGGGCTTCAGCTCTGCATTGTTTATAGAGCATTATTTACCTTACTTATAATCTGAATTTTTAATATATTTTAGATACAATGTGACGGGCTGGATTGTCTTACATTGCATTTATCGAGCATGCACTTTGTTTAGGTTTTAATAATGTTTTTTTCTTTCTTTGACATGGTATTGGCAGCTTATTTATACCTGTAATTAGTTAAACTACTTTTATTTAACTATTTTGCCAAAATAAAACACTATGGCAAGGATTTTGAGTGGATGCATTTTATGTCATGGCTAAAATGTGTACACGCCGATTAGTAAAACAGTTGTGTGTGTTTAAGTTATTTTCCTTGGGAATATTTTGCAAGAGGGAGTTAATGTAGACAGTGTCACAGGTTAATCAGCAGGCATGGGTAGGGCATATAAGCTTGCAAAATACACTCAATGCAGCTGGTGAGAGTTTCTGAACGATAGGTCTCTCAGAGACACACAATCATACACCCTAACACTAAGTCAAGGAAGTAACTATCCTATTGTAGGAGAATATTTAAACACCTTTTAATATTCATATGTGCGTTGCATAACACAGAACTGGAGTGTGATATTTTGTTTTAAGTATGGCATATATTCCATTATGAAACGAGAAGGTTTTAGTTTGAAAATTAGGAATTTTTTTTTTTTATCTTAAGCAGAACTACTTACTAAAGTGAGACTTCAATGTGAATTGAACAAGAATTTCACATTTAAGGCTAAAATAGCCAAAATGGAGACATTTTCTAAATCAGCTATTCTTTCAGCTTGGCTACTTTGGCCTTAAATTAGAAATTAATTTTGAATGCTCACTCCAGTAAATGACCCTGCGAGTCTTTCACAACTGAGCAGTGCTCGTACTCACTTCAGGTAGAATTAATTGTGCAGTTTATTTTAGACACATGATGTATCCCTTGCATAAACGATAAGTTAAAACAGAGATAGAACACAAATTACAGCCATAAATAAAGAATATATATATCAGAATAAAACAAAAACAAAGTGTAAAAAATACAATATTGAAACGTTTTCTAATGTGTATGAATATCACATATAGAACATATTTGTTTTATTTTGTATTTTAGAAAACGTTAGGTATGCGTTAGAAAGTGTTTTTATATTTTGAATATTTTACACTTTGGTTTTGTTTAATTCTGGTATATATATTCTTTATTTACTTTTATTTCTGTTTTATATATCAGTCTTTTTTATATATTTTCATTCACATGTTGATTGAAGCACCCTATACACCTATTTACATCTTTGTTTGATTGCACAAATTACAGCTAATTACAAATACAAAATATATCTATTTTCCGAATGAAAGGTATTCATTATTGATTTTACAGTAGTCGTATCGTAGATGGAAAAGAAAAGAATTGTGTTGGCTGTAATGTGTATATTATTATAGAGAGTGTTGTGATTAGTCAATGTGTAGACCACTTAAAAGATATGCGTTCTGACGGAATTCTGTTAGATGACAAGGAAATATTGGAATATAAACTGACTTCGTAGTGACTAACAGAAGTGTTGGCTATCTTATATGATGTGTTATTGGTAGGAAAGAAAGTACAATATATAAAAGAATATATGAGTACATCTTGTCATTAAAAAATTAAAGGGACCAAGTAGGGGTGCGTAAGGATAGAAAAATAAAAGGAAGACGAGTAGAAGATAAAAGCTTTGGATACGATTGTTGTTGGAACATAGAGCCAACAAAGGTTTTCTGGTATGGAACAATATGGAACAAGGAATGTAAGCTAGGTTGCCAAATTCCGTATTGAGCTAATTTAATAGTTTGTGGAATGTAAAAGGTTTTAAGGTAAATGTGTTTTTTCAATGTATCCTTCCAAGGAAGCAACAGACCTGATAGGACGCATCTCTCCCTATAGCACGGAAAATAGCTGTGGAGCACGGTAATAAAAGTTTATATTTTCTTTAAATTGATTCGATTTATTGAGCTAATCAAATGTATTCCGTTCAAATGGTTTTCTACCTTAGGCCTCAAGTTAATATCTTTAGATAACCTTTTCCAATAATGTAATATTTTTGGATACACTTTTAAAATGATTTTGTACTATGAAAAATGTTTTACTATCTTAAGTTGATATTTTTTAATATATTGATTTTTTTTAATGTAAACAATATATTTTTGATAAGTTAGTATTTTAACCCCTTAAGGACACAACTTCTAGAATAAAAGGGAATCATGACGGAATATTTCCGTCATGTGTCCTTAAGGGGTTAAAAACATAACTTGAAATGCTTATTCAAAAATACTAAATCAAGGCTTTGGTCAGTTGATTCAATGAGATGTGTCCTACTTTTCGTAAATACATTTTGAATCAATCTCTGACCACTCTGCTGTTAGTTCTTTGGATAGTGAAAGCACTTGGTTCATGTGGGATATATTAACATTTCGACATCAGCAGTATATTCAGGCTTCCCAGAATCCACTGTGAGATTACAATCTGAACATTAATTACACCTTTTTATGATGAGAACGCAATCCCTGTAGTTTATATCAGTAGCTGCATTTTATTTGTAGATTTTATTTTTTACAATGCACTTTTTATGTTTTCACCTGCTTTTGGATATTTGAATATTGTGCTGATAAAATTGCATAGATTAACATTTTAATCAGTGCCTCTTAGTTCCCATCTTTAATTAAACATAAAAACAAATGTGATTTTTAATATATTGCACAATATTAAGAGCATATTCAGAATTAAGAAGTACCTTACCTGGAAACGCACCGTGCCATAGTATCTTTTGAAAACACAGATTCTATCATGAAAAGTTGTTACAATACGATTTATTGCTAAAATGCAACAATAGAAACAACAACATCACTCTTACCAGTGTGGGACGTAGACTTGTAAAGATAGCCTGATGTAGGAGAAAAACATAGCTGATGATGAGGTTTAAGAAATGATGCAGATCGGTGGCGGGGCCTGACTAGCATGGAGGACAGACGTGCTTAGGCAGAGCTCCTCAGCAAACGGGGTGACTAACGGCACTTCCAGCCACATGAAGTCTACAAATGGAGCCCAAATTCGACTTCCCTGACCCACGATGGGGTTGGGGACCGATGGAGTGGTCTGCGACCCACCTGAAGCCTGCTTACTGCACTCCTTGAGACGCAGGGCCTGGCGCGCGCCAGCTGGGAGAGGCGCATGGTGAAGCTGCACAACGAGCAACAGCCCCGCTACTACCCCCCTGGACCGTCGGGGGTGATCGCGGTCCAACCCAGAGAAGCAAACCCAGATCTGGGAGTGCGCAGGGCGAAGCCACTCCAAACCACATCATGGCGACCACCGTGACACCCTCGTGACACCCATCATGGCGACCACCGCGCGCCTTCCCGGTCCAACTGTGACAAGCCACGTTATCGAACAGAAGCTGGACGTACTATTTGCCAGCTTCTGGCACAAGATAAAGGGTAGAACGCAGCCACCTACCTCACAACAGCCACACTGCCAATCGACAAAGCGGCTCCCTCCAACTCGGAGGAGCGCTCCGAAGGTCTCACCCACAGGACAGGCCTCATCATGGCGGCGGCCCAAGCTGCACAAGAGGCGGAAACACCGCATGAGACGGCACCGGAGGCACACGGCACAGAGGAGAAGCAAAACCCGAAATGCTCACCTCCTCCACCCGGCGGGACCCAGGATTAAAAGCCCACAATATCTCGCCCAATCTCGGATCCCCTCCAAGGACGACCGGAACGACGGCAATCTCACAAGGGCGGTCTCACACCGGGACGGAGGTCATCAATGGCCCATCCATGGCCCACACACAGGGCTCCTGCACCAAGCCTCCAGAGTTGGCGTGGGGTGACTCACATGAACTACCATAAAGACTAATCACGCTCCATAATATACTGAAGCAGGTTTAGTCCAAAATGCCCGCAGTTAATTTTATTTAGAGCAAGTTACTCTTAAATGGGCCCCAGTGCTATTTTGGTTTAAGTCCACTGCATGCGCCCACAACCTTCACTGGGCCTCTAAACCTCAACTCACTTCCATAATCGAGTGCTGCAGTATTAGGATTGTTCGTTAAGCCTGTATACATGCCTCATTTAACCAGGCACCCTCTACAACCTAGTTTAAAGCAGCTACACTATAAAATTACACATGTTCTCATACCCCCTCCTATCTTGTAATCCCTCCCAGACACACAAAGAATGTTGAAGCTTGTTTAACCATAAATTATAAAAATGTGCATGTTCCTCATATGTCATTTAATGCATTGAACATGTTTATTAACGCTTGCTCATGCTGATGTGGCATATAGTAAGCTTGCCTGTATTCTTTCCTATATGCACAACCAAAAAAAAAAAATGCAGATACGATTTTATTGTGGCCTTGGTGAACTCCTGGGAATCCAAGAGATATAATCGATGGTAGGAGAATCTAGTGTTCAGGCCTCTAAAACAGTCTTCAGTAACTCAGAATTGTGTCTAGTAATAAAAGGTGAATAGATGATCTTTCCCCAGCACATTTATCCTAGAATGGATATTTTTTGTTTTAAGATACTTTTTTTTATTATTGTGCAATATATTGCAAAGCGTTTCATGTTCTATTATAATTAATGGGTTTTTTTTCTCTTTTTTCATTGCCTTGTATATTTTAAAAGAAAACTCCAAACACCTAAGGCAGTTTAGCTTGCTGGAGTGTTTTATGTGTGAAGAGTGTTGTGACGAAATGTCCTTCGCCACTTGGTCCTGGAGAAGCCTGCTTGCCAGCCTCCTCCCCTGTGACTATGACTCTTTGATGTATTTGGATTTAAAGCCCCTATTCTACCTTCAGACAGACTATTTATGTAGGTTGCTTTATTTCTCTTATGTTTTAGTCACCCTGTACCCATTATAGGTGCAGGGTGTGTGTAATGTAATTGTTTATAGTGTGTGTGTGTACTGTGTAATGTATTGCCTGCTCTCCTGTACTGCTGAGGTTTGCTACCAACTAGGTGGGTTTGGCTATGGAGCTTGGCTAGTGCCCTCTGTTGGTAGCAACAGCAATATGCACTACCTGAATAGCAAGACTGGTTCATTTGCATATTCGGGTAGATTTGCATATTGCTAATTCTGCAGACATGTGAGATATTTTCTGTTAAATATTGTCTCCCCCCACCCCTTTAAAAATGTGCCATTGTGTTGTGATAAGTCACTGTGTGTTGCCTGCTATGGTTTGACTGTTTGTGATTTTATTGCGTTTTCACAGCAATGTTAATGTTGTGACCCTATGGGCTGGTCCCAAGGGAAATAAAGGTTTAGTCAGTTCTTCTTGATCCCTCTAAATGTAGCCTTGTCTCATTATTGGGGGAAGCTGTTATAATCACACTGGGGATTGCTATGCTCTGAATACTCTCCTGAGCTTGAATCACTTAGCTCTTTTAAGAGCTTGTTCCTGACCAGCTCTCCTTGGAGGAGAGGTCTTCACCACACAGCCCTGGATGCTGGAGGTTCATACAGGGTGGAAGGAAGAGGTCTTTCCTATACGGTCCTGGAGGACAGAAGTTGATCCAGGGTGGAAGGAAGACAGCGAGACCCCAGTCAAGCTACAGCGGTTGCGGTGGTTGTGGTGTCTGCTGCAGTGCTTGGAGTCCTCAGGAAGCGCTAGGAGCATCCTTCAACGGAGATACCCAGTCGGGGTGCCAGGTGATCCGTTACAAGTGTGTCCTTTTTTTTCTTCATTTTAGAAAAAGTGCAGATTTCAATAGAAATTGTCACTTTTATGAATGAACCTTATTACACCCTCTTGCTTCCTGGTTTGACTAGCTCTGTTGAGCTAAACTTAAGAGGCAGTAATTTCTCAGAGCATCTGCCTTGCAAAGACTTGTCATTGAGCCGCATTGGAAAGTCTGTTATTGGACAGCAACAGAAAGTCTGGGTTGGGGAAGAAGGGGAGGGTTGTATGGGCTGCAGACATGAGGTCTGTAGCTTTTGCAAGCTGTTTTTAGAGATACCTCAAATGACAAAAAAACAAAACCCGCAGGATTAAATGCATGCATGTTTTCACTGAGGTTCTCTATCTATTAAATTGTGATTTCTGTATTTGGGCCGTGGATTGTCTCTTTATAATTGTATTAACTAAAATCATATAGATTTATATTTTATTTAGTGCCTCTTAGCTCCTTATGTTTTTTTTTTTTTATAAATAATTATAGCTCAATGCTGAAGATAGTAAAATTCATTTTTTTCAATTAAGTCTTCTTAAAGGGACACTCCACTGCCCAAATACAAAATAAATATAAATCACTGTTTAGTAGATATACCCTAAATGAAAACTTGCATGCATTTAATTATGTATTTTTTTTTTTTTATTCTTTATTTTATTTGTGCATAGCTTGAACAATCATGCTTGTACCGCCACAATAGCAGGTGCAAGCAGGTTTGAAAACATACATTAACATAGGTATGGCATTGAAATACATAGCACAGTTTTTTTTTTTTATATTCAAGATAGGAGACATGTTAAAGGTTAAACCATGGATAACACACATGCTTTTGCAGGCTAGTCTCGCTTAGCAGTTAGGTAACTTATATTGAATCTGCGCTTCGCTGCCTGATAGCAGGCTTGAGAGATGGAACAAAGGCAAAAACTTAAAGCATAGTTATACAATACTGTAACGTAGGATTAAACTGCGCACATTTTTAAATTGTTAGAGTAATGATGAGTAAGTCTGGTTAGTAAATGCGAGTAACAATAGCAAGATGTGTGTTTACGAGAAATAAATTGACATGACTGTCATAAATTATTAACCTGCTGAATTGCTAAACATTATGATAAGCAAAATGAACTTTCTTTCAAAAGACACGAGTAGAAGAGGTGCAATGAAACGTTATGCCTAGCTAGAAACATAGCTATCGTGATCATGCTTAATAAACAGTTGTAGGTTAGGAAGGTACGTACGCTAAACTAACTTATGTATCAGAATAGTGAGGCTATACATAGAAAAGCTTAGCTTATAGTCACTATCGATATCCCCCCTGCGGTCCCCAGCATAAACTAAAGGGCTATTGAATTGCATGCATACAGGTATAAGAGTTCAACCTCGGGTGTTAAGAGGTGAGGAGTATTGGGCACTGTGCCTGACATTGAGTCCCAGTCTTGTATGGGTCAGCCGATGCCTTGTTGGGGCTGGGTGTGCTCCCCCTGCGCCGGTAGTTGCAGCGATGATGCGTGCCGCATTCCCTGTGGTCCAGCAGTGTAAGAGAAGAGAGTCTCAGTGTGGGCAGAGGACCTAGTCGGTATGTATAATGTGGCTCCAGTTGTGGTTCCCACATGCCAGTGTATTCGTTGGCTGTAGCTGTGGCTGTAGATTTGTGCTGCTGTTGCCGCCATTTTAGGCCTCTTGGTCTGCCACTTGCATGTGTGGATGAGTTGGCCATTGCTCCTCTTAGGCTGGGTCATTGTCGGGGAGCAAGGCGGTGTTCTGCGCTGTGCTTTGGGGGTCCCCTTAAGATGCTTTGCCTGTGCCTGGTCGCGTTCACTCTTGGTGTGACTCTGTTCACCCGACATCGGGTTGGTAGTTTTCAGGCGCCTGTGGGGCCCAGCAAGGGAACTTGCGGCGTGTGCCGGGACATTCTCTTGGGCCTCTCGTAGTTGGCCGTGTGGCGTAGCTTCAGGTTGGGTCCCCGGTTCCGGGGGCCACGCAAGCTGTTCCAGCCTCTCCCAGAAGGTGTCAAAAATGCAGGTGAGTCTGAGCTCCGTTTCTCTCTCGGCCTTGCAGAGGGTTGAGGCGTGCGTGTCGTTCTCCATTTTGTCAGCCACACCAGCGACCTCCAGTCCGCCCGATCTGTTCAACCGCTTATCACCTGCTGAGGTGACCGTGAGGGGGTGGACCGGGATAACCCCCACCGGTCCGGGGGGGGAGAACAAGGGCCCGGAGTCCTACATCTGGCTGGTTCAGGCAGCAGGGAAGCGGCCGTCCTCCCTGTGCCCGCCATGCTGGTAGGCCTCGCTGTGAGTTTGGGTACGCCTGTATAACATCGTCGCTTGAGTGGTGTCTGTGTGTGCGCCCCGGTATCACCCGTCACTTGGTGGCCATTAAACTGCAATTTAGTGCCTTTCAAGCGTCTAGAATCCATTGTTTTAGCCCCAAGCAGCAGGAGCTGGTGAGGCATGCTTCCTCTCTGCTCAGCGGTCAGGCCCCGCCCCTAATTATGTATTTTTTAATTGGGGATATATCTAAAACCAGCTTGTAAAACCTGCAGTTCTTTTGTCTGCTGCCTTTGCAAGCCCTCCCCTTCTAACCCCACCAAGACTTTCTGTGGCTGTCCAACCACAGACTTCTCAATGCAGCTCAATGAGAAGTCTTTATAAGTCAAACTGGAAAAATTCATTAAGGTGAGAATTCAGAGTGAATTTCAAATTTAAATTCAAAATAGCTGAACTGGAAAACTTCCCTAAATCTGCTCTGTTTTCAGTTCAACTCCTCTGACCTTGAATTTGAAATGCACTTTAAATACATTTTAAATTCTCACTTTAGTGTATAGTTCTGTGTGTATTTATCTGTTTAATATATACCGTAAATGCTTTGGGAAACTTTAACATTCAGAAACATTACGAAGCTGATTAACATGAATACTTGTATTAAAGTAGTTATTAATCATTTAAAGAGTTACGATTCTCCTACAAAAGCCTGTAATTGGTAGACGATGTACAAAAGTAAAGGAAGAGTGCTTGTTCTATATGTATCTACATAATCATTATCCCTAGTGTAATTATGTTCTATAAAATATGTATTAAATTAACTAATGATTGCAATTTAACAGTGTCTTCAGGCTCAGTACACATCTGTGGATAACCATATTGTGGAGATCTCAAAAACGTGCTCTTGGCAAAACAGCTTTATCATCAATAAGATTGCTTGTGTGTTCCTTTTAATTTATTATTGTTAAGTGTAATAACTCTGTAAAAATAGGAAGGCGAGATATTGATCAATGTTTTCGATAATGATGCCAGAATTGTAGATTCCAATTAACATATTGCGAAATGGTTCATTTTATTCATTTGTGAATTTTATTACCCGTTCAAATAGAAAAATGCAGGTTCGATTTTGAGCAACGTCCATTCAGTGCTATCCTCAGATTGAGGTTGATAAAATAATATACAATTAAAGCCTTGATCACAATTCAGCACCATTTTTAGATCAACAATGTTTTCTGAACTTTGGTCACAATCCAAAATTTTCACAGCACATTTTTGGCCAGTAGTGCTACTAAAGAGACATTGTGATCTATTTAAAAGTTAGCTTAACTTCAGTTGTCATTATTAACCCCTTCAGGACGGAGTCAATAGTACACATTCTGATCAAAACAAAACGTAAACAAAAACTGGAATTTGCGCTATATGTCTGTTCAACCGTAATTCACCTCTTTCATATTAAATGCATCCACACTTATTATATATCATTTTGATCAGGAGAAACAGGGCTTTCATTTCATATCAAATATTTATATATGAAACATAATTTATGAATAAAATTTAAAAAACTGAGAATTTTTTTTTTTTTTTTTAAATTTGTAGTTCCGCCTCACATTTTACCTGTAAATGTCATAATACTGTTAGGTATTACTGCAAAAAAATGCACATATTTGTAAACAGCAATGTCTCAGGAGTACAACAGTACGCCCCATTAACAGGTTTTATGGTGTTTTGGAAATTGCCACATTAGTAATGTTACCTTTGAGACGGTGTGGTAGCCCAGGAATGAGAATTACCCCCATTATGGCATACTAGGGGACTAGAGTGGGAAATGCAGCAGCTACTGGTAAATTTCTAAATAAAATTAGATCCCAAAAACATTATATTAATTGAATATTTATTTACAGTGTGTGTGTATATAATGAATGCAGTGTGTGTGTGTATATAATGCAGTGTGTTTGTTTGAATGCAGTGTGTGTGTGTGTATGAGTGCAGTGTGTGTGTGTGTGTGTATGAGTGCAGTGTGTGTTTATGAATGCAGTGTGTGTATGTGATGCAGAGCCTTGGTGGGGGGGTGGGCATTTTTATTATTTTTTAAAATTATTATTATTTTTTTATATATATTATTAATATTTGTTTTATTATATTATTATTTAATTTTTTATTTATATTTATTTTCGTCCCCCCTCCTTGCTTGTTAGCTGGCCAGGGAGGGGGGCTCTCATTCCCTGGTTGTCCAGTGGATGGGCTGTGCAGGAGGTGGGTTGGCAGAGAGCTGTAACTTACCTTTCCTGCAGCTCCTGTCAGCTCCCTTCGCCTCCACTGTAAGTCTTGCGGCTCTCGCGAGATTTACAGTGGAGCTGACAGGGTTGCTGGCCAGAATGGAGGAGAGAGAAGGGAGCTGACAGGAGCTGCAGGAAAGGTAAGTAACAGCTCTCTGCCAGCCCCCAACAGGACCGCCGGGCTTGTAATGAGCCCGGAGGTCCTGGACTGTATTATGGCAATGTAAATTGCCATAATACAGACATTAACTCTAGTATAAGTCGAGTGGGGGTTTTTCAGCACAAAAAATGTGCTGAAAAACTCGACTTGTACTCGAGTATATATGGTATGTAAATACAAAAGTGTATGTGTAAGAGTTGTATGATCCACTTTCCACAATCATTGTAACATGTTTACATTGCACTCTCCCATAACCTGAAAGGTAAGTAATATAATACATGCTATAGATGCATTCTGTCCAGGTTGCATGGTCAATGGTGGCTGTCATGGGAAAGCACTTGACAGAAGAGGAGATCTGCTGAGATAGTTACCTCTGTTGGGACCAGGTATTTTTCTTTATAACAATTCCTTAATTAGGTACATCTCCGTGAAGCATATAGGGTAATATACAAATGAGCTCTGCCTCAGGGCAACCTACAGGATCCAGAGAGACGCGAATACTATGGCGGGACTTACATCTAGATCTTATGGAACTCTGGCCCGGCTGCAACCAGTCCCTGTACCTGACTACCTTCCAATCCGGTTTTGCCCTATTTCCCCACCAGCCAGGAGAGCGCTCTTCAGAGGGCTTATACTAACAGACAATATGAATAATCACTCCCTAAGAGTGATCGCCCCATTTTCAGTCCACAGGAGCTTCCAATATTTGACCGGCCAAAGTTTCATTCATCATGGAACTCTTTCGGGCACGGACCTCGCTAGTGGCAGATCAAATCTTTACCCCGTGGTGATTCTCCAATTCTGCATGGATCCTAGAGTTATAACCCAACTTGGGTGCTTGCATCAGATCTATCCAGGAATGTATAATATGTGATGTTCCGGTGGGTTTTTGTTATGTTTTTGGGGATATTTTATGTTGTAACCTCTGTGTCAGGTACATAATTAGTTTAGTGAGAGATAACACAATTATCTCCCATACACAGACACTACTTCTTTGCTTTTCCAATCTTTTTATTGCTGATCGCAAAAGTGTGTGGAAATATTTGTAAAAAAATTCCACATTTGACTTGACACCATAATTTGGGTATTTACTATACGCAGTACAGGTGCATTAGGAGAGCTGATTTTCTGTCCATTAAATGTAAAGCCTTTTTACTGGCATTAAATCCCTCTTAAATCATGAGAGCAGAGAACACCCTGAGGCCCTTAAGAGGTTAAGCCCCTGATTCTAATTAGTACTTTAATAGGTTCCTGATGGAACTTGAGATTCACTTACTATTACACACTTTAGCAACACAGACTTGGTAAATATCAGTTCTGTTGGATATTTAAAGACGATCTGGTTTTAATTCGCAAAAACTAACATGGCATAACGCTTTGCTAGCCTGAGGTCTGAGGACATCTGCTTGAAATCAATTTTTTTGTGATTATCAGTATAAACTTTTTATTAGACACTCAATATTCCATTATGTGATGTGTTTACCTAAATGAGATAATCATAAGTGATTTTTTTTTTTTTAGGTGAACTATTACGTGGAAACTGCACAGAACTATATCTGCATTTATTTAAATAATTGGTGGATTGGTTTAAAAATATAAAATTTTTGATCAGCCAACAAAACTGAATACTCTTCCTCAAATGTCTGAACCCAAAGTGTCACAACTCTGTTAAAATGCTTACATTCTAAACATTTTAGATTAAGTTTGACATGACTGACCTAGCTCTTTCTCTGTGTGCAGGGCTAGATATACACGTCAGGTGCCCGTAGGCAGAATTCTAAGGTGCCTCCTGCCACCCCTTGCCCCTACAAAAATCAATAGCAGTAAACGTGACTTTAATGAATTTATTAACTAGGCATTGCAGGCATAAAACTGCCTAAAAACATCTAGTTTTAAAAAAGTTATTTAAGTTTTTAAATGATTTTATACAATAATAAATACGTTGAAAACAGGAAAATTAATAACAAGAAAACAATAACAAAAAAAGGGCGAATAACGTCACATCCAAAAATATTTCAATAAAAACATTTTTTAGTATATCATACTTATAATTCTAAATGTAATTCAATATTCACAGTATATATACAATTATATGGTCAGGTGGAAGTTATGTAACTAGATCACATTTTAGTCTGATATTCTCATCTCAAGTGGTCCATTCGTGTTGCAAACAATATAAAACTATATGTAAAAGAAAAGAAAATCACAATGGAATAAAGTAATCACAATCAATAAAAATACAAGCACAAAATATTTGTTTTAGTGAAGAAGGGAGAAAGACATATCACAATGGACTGATACTGCTGCTAATACATTTGTTGTACCTTTTATCAAAATCTACAGTGTGAGTGAAGTAGGTGCATTAAATCAAATTCTAGTCTGTCAACCTT